TGATGCCGTGCACCATTTTGTGATGACAATTCGGGTTTGAGTTCTGTGCCTGTTTGACAAGGCTAAAGATGGGAGAGTGTGCCGGCTTAGTGAGAGCTGTTGCCATGAAATTCATGATCTTGCTCTGAAGTCGGATTTTCGTTGGAGTGAGGTTTGCATCGTGGGTAAGGAATACCACTGGTGTTGTCGTCAGCGCTCCCAGCGCAGCTCTCGCACATGTGTTATCTATCGTTGTGAGTCCTGTAGTGAAGTACTTTGGGGGTTCAAACTGTAGCCACGCAGCTAGTCCGTAGTCTAAAGCTGTGTGTACAGTCGTGGTAATGAGTGTGTTCATGAGCTTAGGAGGTATACCCCACTCTACCTTTGATAATGTGACCAGAAAGCCAGCGCGCTGTCGGCCTTTCGTCAAAATCTCGTTCCTGTGCTGGGAGAAGGTCAGCTTTTTGTCTATGGTTATACCTAGCCATCTGGCCTTTTCTTCGGGTGGTATGTTGTTTCTATCAGCAAAGTTAATTGTCGGTGGTTTGTCGATTGTCTTTGGGCTAAAGATGACCCAGAAAGTTTTCTTCACATCGAAGATGGCCCCGTGGTCCTTTGCCCAGACGTTCTGCCTGTAAGCTAGCGTTTGCATCTGTGAGCGTAACTGGTGTGTGTCTGGAGCAGTTGACAGGAGGACTACGTCGTCAATAAATCCTAAAGCTGTTGCTGTTTCAATGTTATCAGTAATTTCGAGTAGAGCATTATTATAAATTAGATAAAGGAGTGGTGACATTGGGGATCCTTGTGGTAACCCGTGTGTCAATTCGAACGGGCTTGATTCGTATCCGTTGAAAGCGAGTGTGGTGCATCGGTTGTTCAGGAAGTTGTGGATTAAGTTGATTGTTTGGCTGTGAAAGACTTTCTTCTCAAGGATTGAGAGGAGTCTAGGGTGGTGTACGGAGGGAAACGCTGACTTAACATCAGCAAAGAGTGCTCCTACCAACCTACCCTTTGACCACTCTTTTCTGATCCATGATACGAGGTGTACAAGCGCCTCGTGACCTGATTTGTTGGGTCTACCTCCATAGTGACATTCGTGAAGTAGTCTCTTCTTCTCTACCTGCTCGGAGAGATGTTTTGTTAGTAGTTTTTCGTAGATTTTGCTTACTGTTAATAGCAGCGCAATTGGCCGATATGCCGAGGCAGCCGTGTAATCCGGTTTCCCAGGCTTCGGTATCATGATGGTCTTGGCGTGTTTCCAATCTGTGGGTATGAGGCCTAGTTCGGTGATCTGTAAAAAGAGTGAGCGTAAGTGGTTTTTGACTTGTTGCCAAATCCGCTGCCATACCCAATTTTGAATCATGTCGGCTCCTGGTGCCTTGAGCGGCGGAACACTCGTGACTACGCTCTTGATGTTTTCTTCAGTGAGGTACGAGTAGAAATCGGGCATCGTTGGGTCTGTCGCACGAGTCTCAGTGTGTATTGGGAATTGAAGGGTGTCTGCTTCTTCCATCCTACATGGAGCTGTTGCCACACATGTTGTTCGGAATAGCAATTCGGATTTCTCGTCGTTAGTCGAGCAGACTTGTCCTGCTGTTGAGATCAGTGTGTTGACTAGAGATGAAGGTTTTCTTCCTGAGGCAAACTTCTTTGCCTGGAATAGCGTGTCGTGTGTTAAGGTCGATAGGTAAGTCTTCCAGCTTGCTTCCTTCATTTTGTCGACCTTCTTGTTGAATTTGTTTCTTGCTCCTTTATAAGCTATCTTGTTTTCGTCCGTTTTGTCGGCTTTGAATTTGCGGTGAAGTCGTTGCGCTTCCTTCCTGAGTGGATCCAGCACTTCAGGCCTCCACCAATGTTTGTGCTTACCTGGTGGAGGTCTGTTGGGAGAGTTGTTGTTCAGTGCGTCTGTGATGGTCTGCCGTAGACTCCTGTCAAAGTCGTCGATGTCGCTCTGTGTGGTTAGTCTCTTTACCTTTGGTAGAGTTGTTCGAAGTTCACTTAGTAAGTCTTGTGTCTCTACCTTTTTCCAATTCTTCTGTTTGGTTTCTTTCCGGTTGTTTGAATGGGGGTCGTGAGAAGTCGTTCGTATTGTCGTTATGATGGACTGATGATCTGAGAAATGATTCGTAACATCATCTCTGTCAACCATGCAGGTTTGGATAGCGTCGTCTAGTTGTTCGTTGACCCAGACTAGGTCGATCGTTGTGCCTCTAGTGGTCGTGGAGCTCATGCCGAAGGTTGGCACTCCGATTGGCGATCTCAATTGTAGGTCCCATTTTGACATAAGCTCGATGAGGTCGTCAGCTGATTTTTCGTGAGTTTCGTTATGGATGGGGTTCCAGGCTGGTGAGTGTAGGTTAGCATCTGTCACAACAATTGTTGGTAACAGTTGGAGCGGAAGTGGAAGGGAAGTCATTAGTTTATCCCACTCCTCATAACCTGAGAAGGATTTTGGAGCGTTGTAAACATTTGTGAGTAAGAAAGAAAGATCGTTGATTTTTATTGTACAGGCTGATACATTTCTTGATGATGATGTGATGGGGTTCAATGCCGCTTTGAGGTCTCGTCGTATGTATAGACATACTCTTGGGCGTGACTCTTCATTTTTTGCTGCGGGTGTTGGGCTGATGAGGATCCAGTTATTTTGGTGGGGGGGTAGGTAATCGAGTCTATTGATATGTGGTTCTTGAAGAGCTATGATAGAAAATTTATTAGTGAGATCATGATTAAATAAAGAGTGCATTACGTGTTGTGAGCGTCGACAGTTAAGTTGTAGAATCGCTGATGTGTCTTGTGAGTTTAGTATTTCAAGCAGTCGTTGTTCTAACATTAGGACATGTTCATTTCGCTGCTTTCTATGATGACGATCTTAGGTGATCCGCTTGGGTTGTAGGGGGGATAGCTAGCAGCTATTCGAGTTGGACATGTCGGGCTGAAAGGGTGGTGTATGATATCTGCTGGGTTGGATGCGAAGAAGACTTTGAGGTTAGTCGTAGGTTCTAGACTCACCTTTTTCCTCGCACAAGCTGTGCACTTCATCTCAGCTTTCCCCTTCTGGGGGCAATTATGAGAGTGATGTTTGTCCCCACAGAAGGGACACAGTGGATCGAGTGGGCATGATGGAGCTGTGTGGCCTGATTTTTGGCAATTGTAGCATCTTTTCGGTGGCGGGCCACTTCTGGTAGTAATATGCTTACCTCTACCGTGCCAGATCTTGCTGCTGATGCATTGCTGCACTTGGTCTTCACTTTTTAGTCCGATTAGGATTGATGAGTGTCTCTTGTTGGGGTCATCCAGAATTTTTGGATTGAGCCAACGCACAAAAAGCAAATCTTTAAGAAGATTTCCATTGCATGTTTGGAGCTCTTCTACATGATCAGGGATATTGGGATCAAACGTTGTAGGGATGCCGTTTACTATGATTTCATAGCGGGCCTCTTTCATTGACAAAGTTTTAGAAAAACCCTTAATCCATGTACGGGGTGCCTCCCTAACTTTAGCCGCATGTGCTGCCGTCTCGAAGTACACTTCGATATCGTGTGATGGGTGTCTCCGGACGCTCTTTATTTCGATTGCCGATTCGTCGTCCGGTTTCATCTTGATTTGGTAGGCCCTAAACGTGACGTTAAGCTCCTGTATGAGTTTGGCGTTGGACAAACCAGGGTGCGTGATTTCTGCTCCCGGTTCGTGAACTAGCGTAATGGCGTTTGTTGCCTTTGTTCTCGGCGCCGTTTTTGATGGCTGTGATTTTGGGTGAGTCGTTTTTTGACTCGTTGAGTTGTTGGTCGGTGCGTGCTTGGATGCTGCCAGGGCGTATGATGGAGCCAGTTGGTTATGATATCTCCAAAAGTTCCAGCAAAGAAGGAAGCTGAGGCGATCGACGGTCGTCGGATGTTAAGAAGGATCAAAATGCTCAAAATATGTTCTCTATGTATACGGCTCAGTATTTAGACTTTCAAAATCAAATAATCACGCTCCAGTAGCCGCATTTTGTATGAGAGTGGCATGCCCCATCCGAATCTGGCGATAATCTGCAGCTGTCCACATCAAATGAGACCTCAATATAAAAAGCCTTTAGCAATTGAGTGGTGTCCTGTCCTGTCCTGACATGCAAGGAATGTTTTATGCGAGGTGATGCGTATGTTGGAAAGGTGTGATCATTTTTCTTCGCTTTGTGAGGAATATTTACCACTTCCAGTGCCTCGATCTCTTCACAGACTATATGAGTGATGAGCAAATGATCAATAATGCTTTTACTGTCCTTCCTTGAGTTTCATGGTTCAGATTCTTGCTATCAATACGTAGTTTCATTCAAGACTTTGTGAGATCTGGAAACACTGGAAAGACTCTTCTAGTTTGAATAAATTCGTCACTGATTGTAACCTAGAAGTTGAACACCGCACGTTCATCAGATTTTTTCAAAACCTCAAGGTAACTCGATTTGATTGAGTACTAGGATCGAAATATTCGTCTTTCTATTTCTACATCCCAAACACAAGAGCTCCGACTCACCAAGTTTTCAAGATAAAGATTTGAAGTTGTTGATATTTGTTTATGCGAGACTTTGAAATCAAGTTTCTTAAGACTTTTCTCATCCTCATATCTCTTCACTGCGACATGGTTGAAAATTCCTCAGCTGACATTTGATCATCAAGATGCCATGGATGTAATGATATAGCTGACTTATAGAATCAGCTCTTTCTTTATGGTTACGTCCAGAGCATGGAATGAATACCCCAAGAAACTTAAGATCAAGAGGACACGTTGATTACGATCACTAGCACCTCACCCTTTGCATTCGGATAGTCTTCGAAAGAATTTGAAACTTGAGTGTTATGCGGATTTCTGATGATAAGATGAAAGTCTCTAGTTCCATGAAGAAAAGTTGGAATGGGACCGTCCAGATTCACTTCAATCGACATGACTGAATCTTCCTTATAACTGAAGGACTGGAGACTGGACTCACCATGTCATGTGAAGCAGCAATAAAATTTGCATGGCAGAAGACTCAGAAGAGCACTCAATTGCGAAATTATCCAGGGTCAGGTGGGGCATGCCGCTTTCCGGCCAAATGCGGCTGCCCCCAACTTGTCATTTGGAAGTGCGATCTACTCAGCCGTATGAAGAATCGATGATCAACTTGTCAAATTTTCCGAACACCCATTAAATCTCATCGAAACAGCTTAACCATTCACGAACGAGATCCAAATCTTGGGACGGATTACCTTCAAGATAAAGGCTCATAATCCATCGGAAGCTTCTATACAACGGACTAGCCTTTACATATGTATGAGGATGCCACCGTCTAGTCGCAAAGCCCAGCTGAATCTTTGGCGCGAGATTGCCTCTAAACGTCACGAGGGAACTAAGCCAGTGGACTCACATCTAGACTTCATTCAAAGTCGTTTCGAGGAACTCGACTCAGAAGGTTTTGTTTGGTCCAAGGATTCGATACTTGCTATCTTCCTGCAAGTCGGTTTACCAGAAGGCCCACATAGCACTTTCTCATCGGTCAATATGAGATACCCGAATCGCGCGCTCTTCTGGGATCTGAAACTTCATCTCAGGAAGTCAAAGAACTTATTCAAATCGAAGAATTACGACACAGATCCCATCCTCGGGGTCTCATGAATTTACCTATCGAGATATTTAACAAGATACTTGAATCACTTGATGACATGGCTAGGCATGAACATCACGCACTCGATTATCTAAAGCGTAAACGTATCGCGGTGATCTCAGATTCAGACCACAAGACACCTTACATGACTTGTTTACCCCAAAACTCACCCATCTTAAATACGATCCAAACCTTTTCACTTGCTTGTCCTGAAGTGTATCAACTTTGCCGACCATGGTTGTGGCGGGTGAGCCGTTTTCAAATCGAATTGCTGTGAAATCATCACCACAATCCAAACACTGATTACAGTGCTCAGAAATTACGATTTCCTACTCGGCTTCCAGCACCGATAGAATTGTGGACTGAAGATATCCTTCTTAGACAAGGCTCCCTTGTCCGGTCTCTAACCCTCCACCTTTCCCAAAACTGTACTCGACCTCATGGACTTATGCATCGTGATCCCTTTTACGATAATCTCACTCTTAATAGGGAAGACGCTCATCCAGAGAGAGTCTCTCCAAAGAATGCAAAAGACCTAATCAATCGGTCCCCCAACCTCTCTGAGCTTACCATCGACTATATTCATCAAAGACACCCGGAAGACACAGTTGGACTCTCAGCTTTTCTGTCAGAGCTAGTTCCTCTCATAACTAGTCTCAAACAACTCCGGCGGCTCACATTAGTAAAATTCATTCCTTCGGGAGCAAGGATTAGATTTCCTACAGAACTCCTTCTTGGTCTACCCTTGCTTGAGTCGCTTCAATGTAGCGATATGTTTCTGTCGTCAGATCAAGGAAAACTCGGTGATGATTCCTTCGGTTTTGCACTGTCAAAACTCCAACATCTATCAACATTACATTTATCTAGCGTTAAAGGTATTGACAAACACTGGTGTCTTTACAACTGGCCAAAGACGATCACCAACCTTACAATTGACTGGTGTGATGATTTAACACCAAGTTCAGCGCAACAAGTTATCCACCATATTGCCCCTCATCTAACAAATCTTGGTCTCAGCTTCGAGCAACGTGATGTCAGTTGGGAGATCAACACTGGCTGGGATCCAGGACGTCTTTTCTCTCTTCCGTCTCTGACTGACTTGCAGCTTGATACTCGGAACCCCGAATTACTGGACAGCTTCCAAGATTGTGAATCTTTAGGGTATCTTAAATGGACCTACATAACATTAGAAGATTGCAGGACACTCAATGGGATCCTTTCTCGAGGTACTTGGCCTCAGCTCAAGAGACTGTCTGTACATGCTAGTATTTTGATCTCACTAAGTGCTCCTGATCCTCAAAATCAAGCAATTCGAGATGAATTGGATTCACTGGAAGATTATTGCAAACAATTCAATATCGAAGCATATGTACGCCGGCCTCTGCATCGCTAGCCAAATTGTTATGTTGCTGTCTCTGTTTTTGGTCAAATTCGCATGAGTGGCTTTTTCTGATTGAGATTTAATCAAGTCTTTCTAGACTGTAACCATGCCCGCCTTTCCTGGGACTCAGCCTCTATTTCTTGTGTATCATCAAATGTGTCTAGAAGACTATCTGATAGATCAATCTTTGTGACCTTTTTTATGTCTTTTATATATAGTATTTGTTTTCAATATCTCCTTTGGCATGTGAAAGGTCTCATTTGATTTGTAATCACTAAGCTTGACATTGAGGCAATCATAGAAAGTTTTAGCATTCTCTGCAGAAGATATGTACTCGACATCATATTTTGCTAAGTAAATGGGAGAATGTCAGCCTCAAACAGAACATAAATAACTTTTCAGAAAAGTATGTCATCCACAGTCACTGAGCATTCAGTCAGGGCCTGAGATGACCTGAGCAGATCAGGTAGCCCTCCCTCAGGCTCCTTGGCTAAGAAATAAAGCCTGAAGGAAGCCTGGCTCATCTACTCAGCTCTCATCTCATGTGGATCATGTCTGATTATATGATCAACATGAGTTGAATGAGAAAAAGAATGGAAGGAAAAAAGTAGAAAACTGAGGAGAAAACTTGAAGCTTTTCATGTATGAGAGCTCCTATGCCCCTGTGAGTTTAATCTATTCTTCTTTGGGTCATATGCCATTTCCATGTGCTGGTTACTCCTTTCATAGACGTGTCTTGCACTTCATCCCTTATGCAAGAAGCTATACCATATAATCACACAATACATGAGGTGACTGTCTCCACACCCTGTTAATTTAAAATTGACCAGAGCTTGAATCCCAGCATGGCAACACTGCTTCATGAGACACTTTGTGAGTCATGGTGAATGCATGTATGATGTACCATTGCCCTCACTTCCCAATGCTGGTTATCCCAATACAAGGACACCACCACTGTCTGTTGCATCCATTTCATGTGTCTAGAGCTGCTCACACCAGTTATGCCATGCCCACTGGGTAAGTGTCGTGATATCTATATCTTACATCATGTTCTGAGTATCTATTTGAGCTGTTGGTTGTTTGGGTTATCCGTCAAGGACTTCCGGCTATAGATTTGAAATGTTGCTAATGAAGGTCAAATTAAGAAAGAAGAGTGTGGGTGATTGAGATACGAATGAAGGACTTATGAGTACGTTTGTAGATGGAAAGTCGCGGTTATTGATATTTCAATTTGTCTACTTTGGGAATAGGTTGTCTGTGACCTGAGTTTTTCTTTCTTTTTCTGTTTTGTTCATTTTTGTTTAGATATATATACATTACCGTTGTTCCACTCAGTCTCTTTCCTCATCGGAAAGAAACTGTAAGTGTCTCGTTTTTAAAATCTGCGTACTATTCATTTTTCTAACAAATTCTTTTACAATAGTTTTCTTTATCTTTTACTTACAAATCTCATCGATCACCTTTGCCTACGATCTGTTGCTTTCACACACAGTTTTGTTTTAGCTATTCTCGTATTTCTTAGTTCTCTTCTTTTTCTTTATCTCTTACTAACCTGTGCGTGGTCAGGTCTGTTTTGTTATTTTTAGTTGCTCTTCGAAGCACTGAGGCCTGTTGCCGTGTACTCATCTGTGTACCTGTTACCCCAGGTTAGTATTTATGACCTATGATCGGAAAGAAACTTTTTCTTTATCTTTTACTTACAGATCTCATCGATCACCTTTGCCTACAATCTGTTGCTTTCACGCACAGGTCTGTTTTCTTATTTTTAGTTGCTCTTTGAAGCACTGAGGCCTGTTGCCGTGTACTCATCTGTGTACCTGTTACCCCAGGTTTACCCCAACTCACGGCTTAGCCATGTCTTCATCAAGCTTCTAGTTCTCACAACTTCACAGTAAGCACCATATCACTATATGGAACACACTGGTGATACTACCCCTAATGTCATACTAACAAACTTTGTGCCTCTTGCTTATGTTGCTTTATCCAACCATCCCATATATTAGGTGCTTTCAAACTAGGAAAAAGTCAAAATGTTCACAAGAAAAAATGTGAACTGTGTAATTACAATACATCTGATATAGCGCTGTAGTGCAATCACAAAGTTCAACTTTGTATTTGGAGGGGGCCTCCCTCCTCCTGCCTCGTAGGGCTTCACAATTTTGCAGGAGCAAAAAAGCATGTAATGAAAAACTATGATTGCACTACAGTCTTGTATCACATGTATTGTAATTACACAGTTGACAATTTTTCTTGTGAACATTTCAATTTTTTCCTAGTTTGAAAGCACCTATTGTGTCAGCCCTGAGCCCTAATTACAGGACCATGGGCTAACAGTACCATATGTAATATCAAAATATTGTATAAAGCCATAAGCTACATCTCAAGGCTCAGTGTCAAGAGCCACTTAAACACATGTATGTAATGTATTAAATACATAGTAAACCTAAACCAAGTGTCAACCACAAGTTGACACGTGAATAGACAAGACTCACACACCAACCACAAGTTGACGCTGGAACTGAGACTATATAAACGCCCCCTTCTTCCCTAGAATCACCTCCCATCTTTTACTACAATCGCAACACAGAACCACATTTGTCAAACCCCTCTAAATCCATACCCCTCGGGAGAAGGGGAAACTATGGGTATAGAGGGGCTATGTCTTTGTTGAGGAACCCCTCTATAGACATACATTCATGGGTTTACATTGAAACCCTCTAAATATATGAAACCATGGCTTTAGAGGGTGGACATTCCACAACCATAGACATATCCCTCTGAAGACATGGAAACATGGCTTTAGAGGGTGGTCCCCCTACAGCCATAAAAAATGGGACTTTATCCGGGTCTTGTTGTTGAAAAAGTCTAACTTGCTATCAAATATTTCAATATCTGCCGTGTTAATTTTTTGTGAAAAGAATACATTTAAAATTTTAACTACATCACAA